AAATCATTATAAATAAACCTTACAAAAAAAATCGTTTTAAATAAATTACAATAAGATATTTAAAATAAATTTTACAAAAAAAATCGTTACAAATAAACTTTACAAAAAAAAATCGTTATAAATAAACTTTACTAAAAAAATCGTTATAAATAAATTATAACAAAAGCTCAGCCAAAAGATATTTGAAAAAATATTGTTAAAACAGATCAAGCTTATCCAGATCAAACTTAACAGATCAAACTTATCCAGATCAATTGTACTCTCGTGAATACTCTATTGAAAAATACAAGACAATTTTATATATTCTCTGCAAAAGTAATGATATCAAGAGTTTACATTCGCCAAGTGCGAATAATTAATCATTTATTAATTTTATAAATATATGTGGTTTTAGCTATATAATATATTTATAAATTAAATATGTTATTAATATATTAGTAATATGTTATTAAATAAAAAATAAAATAATTAAAGAAATTCAATAATGTTAAAAACTTATAATAACTTACACAAAAAAGCACTTGGCGTGCCTTTTTTTAATACTACATCGATAATCAATATAATATTTTGATAGTCATTACAATAAGAGAACCGTTTGCCTATAAAAAAGGCACGCCAAGTGCTTTGTGTAAATTATTATAATTTTTTTTTAATTATTGTATTTCTCTAGTTATTTTATTTTTTATTTAATAATATATTACTAATATATTAATAACATAATTAGTTTATAAATATATTATATAGCCAAAACCACATATGTTTATAAAATTAATAAATGATTAATTATTCGCACTTAGCGAATGTAACCTCTTGATACCATTACTTTTGTAGAGAGTATATAAAATTGTCTTGTATTTTTCAATGGAGTATTTACGAGAGTACAATTGATCTGAATAAGATTGTTTTAACAGTATTTTTCCAAATATCTTTTGGCTGAGCTTTTGTTATAATTTATTTATAACGATTTTTTGTACAGTTTATTTATAACGATCTTTTTTTGTAAAATTTATTCTAAATCTTTTGTTGTAATTTATTTAGAACGATTTTTTTGTAAAGTTTATTTATAAGGTTTTTTGTAAAATTTATTTATAACGACTTTTTTTGTAAAGTTTATTTATAATGATTTTTTGTAAAGTTTATTTATAACAATTTTTTTGTAATAATTATTAC